ATTCAAGTGTATTCATGAAGATAACATCTTATTATCATACTAAAAAGACTATCTACTACACGAGGGTCATTAAGACTATCTACAATACGAGGGTCATTACTAGGAATAAGGTAAAATTTACACGTATGTTAGCTAAAAAATAGAAAATCATTCCCCTCCCTTTCTGTAGCTACATTCATCAGACACCTTTTGGCACTCTTCTTGAACTGGTTCATGCTATGACTGGCTTTGACATGTGCAGGCAGTCTGTTCCATTCCTTTATTGCTGTACAATAAAAGGTGTTTGAAGCCTGGCCACTGACTGTGGGTACTACAAAGTTGTGCTCTCTCCCCCTAGTACTATGATTGCTTTGGTTCCCAACCTTGACAAAATTGACAGCAAGATATTCTGGACATTGTTTGTGAGCAATTTTATAAACATGATTTAGCTTCAGTTGTTTTACTCTGTCTTCAACATTCAGCATATCCAACTGCTGTAATTCATCCTGGCCTACATGTTCTCTTGGTCCCAGCCCCAGGATGAATCTTACGATTTTGTTCTGGGTGATTTGCAGTCTATCTTTCAGTTTTTTTTGTCAAGGCAGAGTACCAAGAAGAGCAAGCGTAATCCATATGGCATTGTATAAGGGCTAGACATAGGGTCCTGCGAGCCTCAGTAGGTAGACACTGTGCTTGTCTATACAGGAACTTTACTCTGGCATTCGCTTTCTTTACTACACTGTTCCCTATCAATTCTCCTGACATGCATGGGTCAAAGGGGATTCCCAAATATTTTACTGATGAAACCAAAGTGATGGGCTCCCCATTACATTGAACATTAAAATTATTTACCCTTCTCAGTTTATGTTTCGTGCCAAAGAGAATGGCTTCAGTTTTCCCTAGGTGTAATGATAGTTTGTTGTCTACTAACCATTTGCTGCAGGACTCCAGTTCCAGTGTTAAAACATTAGCAATATCTTGTGGGTCTTTACCTGACACTAACAGAGCACTGTCATCTGCATACAGTAGGAGTTTGCACTTGACACTGATAGGCATATCATTGACATAACATAAGAATAATAAGGGACCCAGAATACTACCTTGGGGAACTCCACATGTTATCGGCAGGGGTTCTGATTCTGTTTTGTTGATTTTGACTATTTGTCTCTGTTGCTAAGGTAGGACTTAAACCAGTCTACAGAACCTATACCGATAGCTTGAAGTTTATTACATAATATATTGTGGTTGACAGTATCGAAGGCCTTTTGCAGGTCTAAGGTTACCATACCTATGAGGTTCCCCTTTGACATTTCAGTTCTCAGGTAATCCATCAGATTAATAAGGGAGGTGTCGGTTGAGTAGGATCTTCTAAAGCCCGATTGATAGCTATGGAGAATGTTGTTGTCATTAAGATACTTAACTACTTGAGAATACACCGCCCTCTCTAGAATTTTAGATATTATACTGAGTATACTAACAGGCCTATAGTTGCTTACATCAGACCTACTATTTTTCTTGAAGATAGGAGTAACTCTGGCCTCCTTGAACCCCTCCGGTACGGTATAAGTAAGTTTATTCAGGTATACATAAATACAGTTACATAGATTATCATACATAGCAGTATATGTGTAGAGGACCTAGGATAACCCAAAAAAGTCAGACAGTGACTTATTTCCAGTGGGGTCCTTTTACTTATAAATTAAAGTTGTGTGGACTGTATATGATTAGGCTTGCTGGGTACACTTAAGATAATTATTGGACATTAATTATAAGTGTAATTAGAAAGGAAATTCGTATTATTACTTACCATTTAATTACTGAATCAAAATTGTTATTTTGTGGAAACAAACCCTAACGCTACCACTACAGCTAGAATTTACGATGGCCAACGCAAAACTACTGTACGTTATGGGTAAGCATAATTTAACTTGGATATGCTCCTAGGAAGAATCGGTGTCCTCTATTTTTCCATTCTTGTTGCCGAAATGTAAAGGTTTTCCACACTATTTATCCCAATTCTTCAGCAGGAACGTATCAGCGATTTCTAAATTACGGATTGAGGCCGATATACACCAGTTAAGCTTTGAGAACGCCTGAATACATTGGACAATTCATACTAGTGTTCACACATTCAGTTTCAATATGGCGTCTCCCCGTCCACATCACTCAGCAGCTGTTCTACACCCCCCTCCCCATTCAAAATATCTCGAAAGGGTCAAACCAGCATCACATTTTATCACACAATTATTGTATTATTCAAATTTACACATGCTGAATTTAGGAAAATCCAAAATTTTCTACAGGATATATACCCTGAAGGGTATATTTCTCTCAACAAATATGCTAGGTAAAAAAAAATGAAGCTTGAAGTTATTGGTAGAGTATGTACAATTTCCGTATTACTTAAGCAACATTAATCAAATTCTTAAAACTTAAAACATCTAACCCAAAACCTCTCTTTATCAGACCATGTGGAGTCCCACATGGAAGTATGTTTGGTCCCTTCCTTGTGCTGTTAAAATATGTTGATCAGTGTTAAATAAAAAAAAGTGTAATATACATTGGTCACTAGCACAAGCGAAACCACCTAAAGAAAGAAGAATACAAAAGAACTGTTTATTTCGGCCTACCACTTAGGCTCTCTTCAATAGACTGAAAAGTATTCAAGGTATGCAGACCACTGCGGTAGGTTTGGACGTACCCTATACCCATCTCATGGGCGATAATCAAAGGATTATATAGGCACATAATGGGTCCATATACTGGGCCCCAACATTTGTATTTGATAAGTACATTACAGTGGTTTTAAGTTACAAGCAAATTATCATATATACGAGCATATGTGAAGAGAACCTAAGATAACCCTAAAAAGCCAAAGCGACTTATTTCCATTGGGGTAATATACTGTTGTGGATTTACTGTGGAAAAAAAACACTTTGACATTTCATAAACTTTTGGGAGTGGGTTTTATGTAAATTCATAAATTTTCCAGCATCTCAACACATAATTAGGCAGAGTGTGACAGCAATTCCTCTGGCAAAGTTTACTACATTAGCTGTTGGGGCAAACTCCCAGAGACACCTGCAGCCCAGCCCAATTCGTACTGTTAATAGTGACATTCTAAAGTCTGCTGATTTTGTGGGATGACGGAATTATGACAAATGGACTGACTGGTGTCCATCTCACTCTGTCTCAGGTTAATAAAGTTCGGTTTAAGTTCTACTACTAGTTGCTAATTCATTAACAATGCCATGTAATGTAAGACCAGTGAGAGAGGGGAGTCTTCTGGCAGGGCTGCATCTGCTCTTGTTGCCACCTCCCTAGTTAAGAACGATAATAAACTTGTTGAACTAGGCATAAGAATTAACAGCTGGGCGCCTACATTGCAAACTGAACTGTTTGCAATCCTAATGGCGCTAAAGCTAACTTAGACACTGAGCTTGACTCTATCATCATTACTGATGCTATGTCATCACTGAATGCTCTTAACTCATATAATGACTCCAACAACATGCTCATTGGAGAAGTCAGATATAGATACTCAAAAATCAGGGACAAAGGAATTAATGTACAATTGCTATGGATGCCATCACACATTGGATTACTCCTTCAAGATAAAGTTGATATGTTAGCCAAGAAGAGTACCCAGAAGGAGAATGTAGAATATAACTTTGGTATATCTGTGTCTAGCATTAGGAATAATATTAGGAGAGAAGTAAATAATGAAAATGATTGTTATAGGAATGCAGTTAGAAGCCTGAGTAGATCTGTAACCCACTATGATAACACGAACGTAGATAAGTATGTTTATGGAGCAACTTGCAATGTGAACAGACTGACTGATGTAGTGGCCAGGCTTAGGCTTGGTTACAAGTACTTCTGGCAGTTTGGGAGACACACAGATGATGATCAAACTAAATGTAAATTATGTGATCAGGCATATTGTCACTCTCTTGAACACTGTGCTTAATTGTCCACTTATTGAGGAATACGGAGATAGACAGTATAATAACCTATGTGACATGTCAAGATATCTTATTAATGAAAATAAGATCCCAGATATACTAAGCAAATTTCCTAAATTTGATTGTAACATAAGCGAACTATAGATATGTAGATATAAATCCATATGTACTCCTGTTAAACCTTTGGGGCCTTATAGAGAATAAACTTTGAATTTGAATTTGAATTAGTTCCTGGGCCTTTTGTGTATCCACATGCTCTTGCGCTACCGTCCACAGGATGGATATGGGGTGCACAATAAACTAGCCACTTCGGTGGCAAAATCTAAATCTGAGAGAGGGGAATCCACATAAGGTGTACTCAGATTCCACTCTATAGTTTCTGACAAGAACATGTCATAATTGACACTCTTCGAGTAAGAAGCACTTATGGATGATAGAGAATCACATACAATTAAGGTGTCAACTTTAGATACATGGATACATTTGAGTGCAAGGAATATATCAAACATTTGATTCTGTAGAGCAGAAGCCCAGTTACTGATACATGCTCAATTTCCCACATAAGAGTCCTCTCACTCAGTCATTAAAGTTGTCACTGTTTTTTTTATAATTTTAGCTTAAGCCTACCATTCCTTCCATATATATAGACAAGCGCACCTCAGGTGCGTAATAATATATTTCCATAAAAACTCCAGTTTGCTAAATTATAAATCATTAGCAGGGACAAGGTAGACGAAGTGGTAAATGATAACAGGGCTCATTAGCGCTCGGTCGCATAAAGAGGTAATAATCATTTTAATGTTAATGTGCAGTAGCAAGTGGTGCTGTGAGTGCCTGGTGACATCATCAACATGACAACCTCTCAGTGCCTCGATCCGGCCTCTGATTCACGTTCCAACAATTATTTCATTAAAATTGAACGAATAATTCTTAGAAACTCGCATTACGTTTTTTACGGCAATTTACCGGATACTAATCTCAAAAGCGAATCTTTAAAAGCTGAGCTATATTAAGAGCTTTTAAATTTAATGCGTAATATAGTAATTTTTGAGAAGTGTTTAGTGTACGGTGTTGAGGAGAAGTCAGGTCTTGTTTATGTCGCCAGAGATCTAAGAGAGTGAGGGTCGACCACAAGCAATATCATCATGCCTGTTAAAACAGAGATGGCTGCGTTAGATCCGCCTCCTCCAGCTAATTCTGGACAGCCTGGGGTGACTCGCAGCCTGCTATACAATGGTTCAAGGTTCCAGGGACACCAGAAGTCCAAGGGACAGTCATACGACGTGGAGGTGGTCTTACAGGTGCGGTCTTAACTTCCTTCATTCATACAGCATCCCGTGGCAAAATTAGAGTGCATTCTGCCCACAGCTGCAGCCTTGAGAGTTTAAATGTAGTGTGTGATGGTGTAGGAGAGAGTGAGGCACGGGGAGTGGGTGTGACACCAAAAAAGCCTTTGTTGTTTGCAAGGAAAGCTGTATGTTACTTTCTATTGTGTGGCAGAGTGAAAGTTGAGAAGTGAGTGGCCTTGTGCTGGCATTATTTAACCACCAGAAACACTCACCACAGCATTTATTTTAATGCAGATAGTCTATAAATGTACTGATATATTGCATCTGTTCACTTCATGTTGAATTGTTCTACATTATAACAGTAAATTCATAATGCACTTCAATGAACCCCAATGGATATAAGTCACTTTGACTTTTTTGTGGGGTTATTCTAGATAATTTACAGATTATGTAATCTTTCAAAGATTGTGGGTGCCCTGATAAATATAAATTTGTGTTGGATGCTTTCCAAATCAAATTTATATTAAAACATCCCAGGAATTTGATGGTTTATGATTCAGCCTCTGTGTTTTAATCTAGCACATTAGATTAAGTTAGAATAAGGTTTTAATAGTTTTTTAGATAATAGCTATTGTGGTATATACTATCATTAGCCTCTGAATTAAGCTGTAGTATAAGGAAGAAATATCTAAAGAGCCAGGTTTGACTTTCTGCTACATTCTGAAGTAGAAATAATATTATACATCACAACAAATAGAGGAAAATGTGAAAAAGAGAAGAATCTTTGAGTTATTAACTGGAGGATTACAAATCTTGGATAACCCAAGAAAGACTGTAACTTACTTATATTGTTTCCTAGAGTAGTTTTATGGGGTTTCTTGGTATCTTTTAATACAATGGAAGACATGCTAATGAAAGAGATGATTTTGGTCAGTTTCAGACTGGAAGCAGCTTGAAATCAGCTTCAAGGTGGCAGAAATACACAATTTTTGGTGATTTTTTCCTAAGGAAGGGTGGAGCTCCTCACCTGTCTGGTCACTTTCATGGGTTTTTACTTGTTCTGCTTCAATAAATTTGATGGCCTAAACTATGACCAATCATTCTTGGTTATATTTTAAGTCGAGCAGTAGGGTAAAACTTAATTTTTTTCCGATGATGGATTCAAAATGGAGGGCAAGGCAGTATTATATAAGAGAGGCCTGGGGACATGGTTAATAAACAGAATAAAGGTTGCTATGGTGGCTGGAATGCCTTCAGTTTTTATTTTGAATTCTGTTTTTATACTGGAATTTGTGCACTATAGGGTAGTTCTGATAGTTGAATAAGCAGTTTCTTGTGCTCAGTTGCTAGAACAGAAAAGGCACTAGTAAAGTAGCTAGAAATTGGGTCAAATAAAGCAGTGGAATTAGATTTGATGAAATCTTAGGTAATGCTGTGCATTGATTCCAGGGAATACAGGTTCCTAAACCTGTATTCCCTGGAACGCAGGAGGGAGAGATACATGATTATATACACCTGGAAAATCCTAGAGGGACTAGTACCGAACTTGCACACGAAAATCACTCACTATGAAAGCAAAAGACTTGGCAGACGGTGCACCATCCCCCCAATGAAAAGCAGGGGTGTCACTAGCACGTTAAGAGACCATACAATAAGTGTCAGGGGCCTGAGACTGTTCAACTGCCTCCCAGCACACATAGGGGGGATTACCAACAGACCCCTGGCAGTCTTCAAGCTGGCACTGGACAAGCACCTAAAGTCAGTTCCTGATCAGCCGGGCTGTGGCTCGTACGTTGGTTTGCGAGCAGCCAGCAGCAACAGCCTGGTTGATCAGGCTGTGATCCACCAGGAGGCCTGGTCAGACCGGGCCGCGGGGACATTGACCCCCGGAACTCTCTCCAGGTAAACTCCAGGTTATGTTGCATAGAGCTCATGTTTATACTTCTGAGGAGAGTTAATAGAGAAGATGTGAAGGTAGGAAATCGATTCTCTGTTCTCCAAGACTAGTGTACTTCAGTGGTTAGTGAGGTTGAAGGTACCACTGATTCCCCTGCTAATCAAGGTAAGAATATTTTAATAGTAGGCGATTCTCAGGTAAGATATATGGACCGTGCATTTTGTAACAGAGACAGAAAGTTCAGACAGAGAGTGTGTCTTCCTGGAGCTGGTGTTGGCGACATAGTCAGCAGGTTGGATAATATTATGGCAGGTAATGGGAACAAGCCCATTATCTGTCTAAGTGCTGGGGGTAATGACATTGGGAAGGGCAGGAGAGAGGAGCTGCTGGATAAGTACAGGTCAGCCATAGAAGTAGTTAGGTCTAAGGGAGGGATCCCAGTCATTTGTAGCATCTTGCCAAGAAAGGGAGTGGGCAATGAATGGATGTGCAAGAAAGGTATAAAGTACCGACAATATGAAAGTTAAGACACATGTGCAACATCTGGATATCCTTATTGTAACAATAAGGATATCCAGATGTTGCATATGTGTCTTAACTTTCACAATGAATGGATGTCTAGGGCAATTGGTATAAATCGCTGGCTAGACAGGTACTGCAAGGAACTTGCAATCCCATTCATTGATAACTGGCACCTTTTCTTTGGCAAATGTGATATGTATGCAAGGGATGGGGTTCATCTCTCTGGGGATGGAGTGATTGCATTAGCCAATTCAATTGAGAGGGTAATTGATGACTTGTCTAGGAATTTAAACTGATAGATTATGAGGTATGGGTGTTTGTGGGAAACAATCAGGCTGCAGCATTAGGGTTAAAAACAGCAGTTATTACCGGGATACCTCAGGGATATGTTTAGAAGACAATATTCAAAATAAAGTTGCTAGTAATGGCAAATCAATTGATCAACAAACAAAGAGAGATGTAGAGGGCAACAAATGACTAGCTCCCCAAAGGTTTACTATACAAATAGTAGGAGTCTAAGAAATAAGATAGATGAGCTAAATTATTGCAAGTGTAGGCAATATAGATATTATTGGTATAACAGAGACCTGGTTCAACCTGAAAGATAGAGAAAAATGCCTTCTGAATGCAACATACAGGGTTATAAACTATTCCACACTTGGGTAGGGTCAACAGGAAGGGTGGGGGTGTGGCGATGTACGTCAGAGGGAAAAATTTAAATTGTTGTCTTAGACATGATATAAGATTAGAAACATCGAACACAGAATTGGTTTTTCTACAGTTTCTCGGGGACGTGACAAATTAATTTTGGGTGTGATTTATAGGCCCCCAAACCTTGATAGGGAGTGCAGTAAGCTGTTATGGGACGAAATTCATAGGGCATCTAGATATGGGAAAAAGTGTTTAAAAATGGGAGATTTTAAAATTTAGACAAATTGATTGGAACAATTATGACAGGAAAATCTTGAGTCTAGTGACTTTCTTTATACGGTTCAGGATTGCTTTTAGAAAAGGTTGTGACAGAACCAACTAAGAGGAAACAATCTGCTTGACTTGGTCTTGCCAAAAAAAGATTCACTAATTAATAATCTTGAGGTTAATGATGAGCTTGGGAAAGTGATCACAAATCACTTAGTTTCAATATATCATGGAATTACCCAGATAACTGCAATCAAATTCTGTCCTAGATTTTCGCTTGGCCGACTTCATGGGACTGAAAAATTACTTGGGTGGGCTAAATTGGGATGTCCTGGGCTATGGTAGGTAGGTGATCTTGGTTGCCAAAAATGACGTTTTCAGAGCAAAAGTTCTAGCTGCCCAGACAAAATTTTGTTCCGAGTAGGGAAATTAGATCTAACAAAAATGATCCCAAATGGAAAGAACAATAGATTAAAACATCTCATTGGTCAAAAGAGAGGCATATATAGGCATATCAAAAGAGGGGATGGGCAGTCAAGAAATCAATATATTCAAAATTAAAAAGAGAAATAAAAAAAGGAATAAGAAAAGCAAAAAGGGATTATGAGGCTAAGGTCACAAGGGATTCAAAGACTAACCCAAAAGGGTTCTTTCAGGTATACAGAAGTAAGATTAGGGGCAAGATTGGCCCACTTAAGAGTAACTCTGGTCAGATCACTGACAGTGATAAGGATATGTGTGAAATACTAAAATACCCACTTTCTCTCAGTTTTCACCCAGGAAAATATTAGCGATTTTTTCCCGAAATATAGAATTACGTAGAACAGGATGATAATAAACTATGTATGATAGCGGTAAACTAGTGACATGGTCCTCAACAAACAGAGAAACTAAAACCTAAAAAATCCCCAGGTCCTGTGAACTGTTTGCAAGGGTGTTAAAGGAATGTAAAGAGGAACTTAGCATACCTTTGGCTAATCTTTTTAACAAATTCACTAACAAACTGGCATAGTGCCTGATAAGTGGGAAAATGGCAAATGTAATACCTATTTTACAAGGCAGGTGGCAGGTCCTTGGCTTCGAACTATAGACCAATAAGCCTTACCTCCATAGTGGGAAAATTTATGGAATTAATAATTGCCAAAGCAATTCGTAGCCATCTTGACAGGCACAGATTGATTAATGATTCTCAACACGGTTTTACAAAGGGGCGCTCCTGTCTTACGAATTTACTAACTTTTTTCACTAAGGTGTTTGAGGAGGTAGATCATGGTAATGAATATGATATTGTGTATATGGACTTCAGTAAGGCTTTCGATAGAGTTCCACACCAGAGGAAACTTAAGGCACACGGAATAGGAGGAGAAATTTTTTCCTGGGTAGAGGCATGGCTGACAAATAGACAGCAGAGAGTTTGCATAAATGGGGAGAAATCAGAATGTGGGCATGTCACAAGCGGTGTTCCTCAGGGGTCGATGTTGGGCCCATTGTTGTTCACAATTTACATAAACGACATAGATGAGGGAATAAATAGCGACATAAGCAAATTTGCTGATGACACCAAAATAGGCCGTCCAATTCATTCTAATGAGGACATTAGAGAACTCCAGGATGATTTGAATAGACTTACGCAATGGTCAGAGAAGTGGCAGATGCAGTTTAATATTGACAAATGCAAAGTTCTAAATGTTGGACAGTTAAATAACCATGCCACATATAAACTAAACAATGTAGATCTTAATACTACCGATTGCGAAAAGGATTTAGGAGTTCTGGTTAGCAGTAATCTAAAACCAAGACAACAGTGCATTAGTGTTCAGCAATAAAGCTAACAGAATTCTTGGCTTCATATCTAGAAGTATAAATAATAGAAGTCCTCAGGTTGTTCTTCAACTCATACATGTATATCCTAAATAGACTATGCTGCTCACTTGTCACCGTATTACAGAATGGATATAAATGCTCTGGAAAACGCACAAAGGAGGATGACAAAGATGATCCCATGTATCAGAAATCTTCCCTATGAGGATAGACTGAGGGCCCTGAATCTGCACTCTCTCGAAAGGCGTAGAATTAGGGGGGATATGATCGAGGTGTATAAATGGAAAACAGGAATAAATAAAGGGGATGTAAATAGAGTGCTGAAAATTTCCAGCCAAGACAGGACTCGCAGCAATGGTTTCAAGTTGGAAAAATTCAGATTCAGGAAGGATATAGGAAAGCACTGGTTTGGTAATAGAGTTGTGGATGAGTGGAACAAGCTCCCGAGTACAGTTATTGAGGCTAAAACGTTGTGTAGTTTTAAAAATAGGTTAGATAAATACATGAGTGGGTGTGGGTGGGTGTGAGTTGGACCTGACTAGCTTTGCTGCTGGGTCTGGTACAGTGCTCCATCCTTGAGTGGAGATGATCAGACTGAGTGGGTCATTGGGATAATCTGGGGAGTGGGTCATTGGTCTAATCCCGGGGGGGGGGGGGGACATGGACCTGCTCTGCGTGGGTCAGTAGGCCTGTTGCAGTGTTCCTTCTTTCTTATGTTCTTATACATAACCTTAATCCGGTAACCAGTTGCATTTGTGAGAATAAGGCCAATTATTGTGCAGGCAGTGCCATCATTAGCTGAGCCAGTTTTGTAATTGGAATATTGTAACTAGTTTATTATAATGTTATTTTTTCTTTGATTAAACAGTGGATACTGACTGGTATGCAATACAGGTTTGCTGTTGGACCTGCAAACTCTCAGATTGATTTGGTATACTCTACATACTGTACAGTGCTGAATATAATTTGCTAATTACAGGTCTCTGATAAAAAATTTTGAGTTTGATGTTAGCACTTTTTCTTTTTCCACTCTGAAGAATAATTTTTTTACAAATTTTTTAAATGGGTTTAATTATAATATAGTTGATGCTTGTGAAATTGGGAAATTTGGAATTTAATAGAATTTTTGTTGGCAGCATGTGGATGAAGCTAATTCATACCTGTGTGGATATCTCAAAATTAAGGGCCTGACTGAGGAATACCCTACGCTAACTACTTTCTTTGATGGCGAAATTATTAGTGAAAAATTTCCATTCCTTACTCGAAAATGGGATGCAGATGAGGAAGTCGACAAGAAACATTGGGTATGTTGATAATGGCTAGATTCTTTTGTCTAGCTTTGTGTACCATATATATGCCGTCAGCTCTCTCATAAGTCTCCTCTGTATAGTGTAATTTTTCATGAATGCAGTTGAAAAAAAAAAAAAGTTCTTTGAAAAATTGTGTTGCACATTCTATGAGAGCAATAGAGCTAGGCCTAAAATATGCATATACAGTATGCACATAATTTACCTTAAATTATTTTCATCTTTAACTTATAGTGAGTGATGCATGTATTCATTATAGGAAGTCTGAATAAGTGAAGAATGGGTTTAATTGAAAACTGCTGCATTGGTGAAATGCTGTAAAGTAGGGCCCACCTGTATTGTATACTGTATGTTTATTTATTGTTACTCTTATTGCTCCTTAGTTCATGTTCTAGTTACACCAGATTTAATCTTATCTACTCCTCCCTATTTAAACTTTGTTGTGTCTGTTTGTAATTTTAAAGAAAACCCAATGCCTGCACTCTGAAGGAGGGGTGTTAATGTTGCAGTTTAAAAACTGTAGTGTAAAGCACCCTTCTGGCAAGACAGTGATGGAGTGAATGATGGTGAAAGTTTTTCTTTTTCGGGCCACCCTGCCTTGGTGGGAATCGGCCAGTGTGATAATAAATAATAATAATAAGATTTTTTTTTCAAAATCGGTGTGTTATACAGAGAAAGGTACAGTAACAGATATTGCTTCACATGAGGTAGCCGGGAGCCATCTACAGTATGAAATGCAATCAGTACTCTACTCAACACATTTACATTCCTAAATACCAGTGTCCAACCTAGGGTCACACAGAATATGTATGATGCATGAAAAACAAGGCTAGCTGCCAAATATTTCATTTAGCACTGAAAAATATTTTTAAACCAAAATGTTACAATACACCTAACCTCATATTCTGGCAGCCTTCACTTGCTGCAAATTGAATATCTTGTAAAAGTGTTGATGCTGTCCTATTGAGCCCAAGTGGATGGCTGACATTCTGGTATACATTTTGATGGAGAATCTTTGGTAATTGACATTTACCTTAGAATGACAGTATTTTGTAATGTAACTTTCTCTCAGTTATCCTGCATTACTTTATAGAGCTAATATGGCAGTCATTTCCTTCTGACCCTCTTTCATTATTAGATTTCTATCCAGGTTAGGATTAGTTTCAATTATTTTAAATGTAATCTTGTCATCGTCAGGCATGCTTTCACAAAATATTTGTAGTGTAAGCTGAATTTCTTCCTAAGAATTTATGTGGTATATTGGACCTTGTGAGAAATTGTTATCTATTAATGTGTGCAATTGATAGGTTTATTTATAATTTTTTCTTTTACAGGGAAAATTTCCACCTTTCTATCAATATACAAAAACCTTCAACTCGGATACATTTGACTACAGTGTTTTGAAGGACTCTGAACATGTATTTATGAGATGGAAGGAACATTTTCTTGTTCCAGACCACACTGTTAAGGATATAAATGGAGCTTCATTTGCGGGTTTTTATTATATCTGCTTCCAGAAGAGTGCTGCAACTATTGATGGATATTATTACCACAGAACATCAGAATGGTAGGTATTCTTTCCTGCTGGAATGCTCAAAATGTTATTTTTAGATAAGAAAATATATCAGTATAAGCTTGTAGTAGTTTAATTGGAAAATTTGAAGATTGTCAATGGAAAATTTCTCATATCCATTTATTTTTCTATATGCCTAGGTTGTTTAAGTTGTATTAGTTGTGTAGTCTTTCACAAACCAATGTACCAGAATGCTGTTTTAAATTTATTTTTGCTTGAATTGGCAGATACCATATTGACTGAAATTAAACTGCAGAATGTAAAGAATCTGTATATTTCAGCCACAATCAAAGGCCCTCTTCAGCACATCTACTGAAATGTTACTGACTATGGTTAAAATATACAGATCTCAATTCTGTGTTGAATTTTCTGTAAGTGAGATTTACTGTATTTTTTTTCAGTGGTCACTGTTTATGGTACACATTAAAACATCCTATAGAGTGTTTGCAGTTATGTGACTCAAGTCTGCTGTCCTGCAGCACTGGCAGGCAAACTTGCTGTTTTTTCAATATTTATTTTATTTATTAAATAAAAATTCCTGTATGGGATGAGAGGGAGTGGGGGGCAAAATTTTGAAAATTAAACAAAATATTTTTTTCTTACACAGTGGAACCCCGAGTTTCAGCTATAATTCGTTCCAGAAGGCTGTTTGAGTGCCATTATCAAACAAATTTGTTCCCATAAGGAATAATGTAAATGAGAGTAGTCCATTTCAGACCCCGAAAATACACTTACAAAAGCACTTACAATAATACACTTACATAATTGTTCGAGTTGGGAGGCGGCTGAAACTTGGGGTACCACTGTAGTTTGAAAGCGTTTTCCAAAGGAAAGGAAAAAAATAATGAAAACTTAGGATTTTATGGTATTTTGAACTTGGGAGCAAATGATCACTCGTCAGCAACAGTGGCATAAATTCACTAGCAATATTTGTTTCACAATTTATTGATGCCAATTTTTTTTTTTTATTTATTTTTTTTTTTTTTTTTTTTTTTTTATGACTTTTCAGTTTTTTATTGTTTATAAAGCCTAACACTATGTACACTACTTTCTGATTTTTTTCAGCTTTTTATTGTTTATAAAGCCTTACACTATGTACACTAGTTTCTTATGATATTTGATGAGTTTGAAATACATATATAGCATGACATCGCTTCACTTAGAGTATACAGTATAAATTGGTGCAAACAGTTGTTTCTCTATTCTAAGCTCAGCCTTAGAACTGCAGAATCTCTTTGAAAAGGCTATGATATTCTTAAGTGAAAATTTAAAGTACAGTATTTTTACTTTCATTGTATCTTCATGAAAGCTAGAAAAATTCATGTGTACAGAAGGCCCTCTACATTCGTGAGGGTTAGGGGATTAAGAGACTTGCGAATCTTGAAAATTCACGAATGTTTGGTGCGTAAATGTGATGTAGAGAAATATAATAATACGTGTACTGTACTGTAGCGTTTGCGAATATTTTGGTGCGCAAATATGTTGTGGGGAAATATAATAATAGCCTTTACTTAGCCTAACAATACTGCTTCCTTAACCTATTGAACCACGAACAATCATAAAACACATGAGAACATTGTAAAATATTGTATACACATACCTTTGATATACCTTTGAAAAGTTTTGAGAGAGTAACTATTCTTGGAGCCCAGCCATGGACCAGGCTCATTAATGTTATGGTTTAATAATAAATAATGAACAAACAAAGCACTTGCCACTCATAAGGTTAGGCAGATGAACTCTGGTGACTTGTGATGATGACAATGGCGATGATGATGGTGGTGATAGCCATGCAGTTACTGATGACAATTGAATGGAGATGATTGTGTAACTGCATGGCATGATGAGTCTAGTGTGTGGATTCTAACTCTTCACTGCCAGCGTCACTGCCAACATCGCTAGAGTCCGAGTTAGCAATGGAGTCAAATTCTGCCACAGGTTGAGGTTCAGGTGAGGCAGTAGAAGTAGTGGCAGGCTTCCTTGTGAAGAACATTGTGATGAGCAACTGAGACCATTTCCTCTTCATATCTAACAAACAGAGTTTTGTAAGGAATTGTGCTTCTAACAGTGTCGCTCATCACTTTCAAAACCCTCAACATCGATGGGTATGTGTCGTAAAAAAAAATTGTTTGAGCTGTGCTGTCATTCTTATCGCTTGCTCTAGTTTTTCATGGGTGAGGGCTTGAGGTTGATTGGCCTCAGCAACACTTCTCTTCTTCATAAGGCGGCTGGGCATTTGCGAATGTTCGAAACTCACGAAAGTGGAGGGCTAGCTGTATTAACTTCATTTTTTTAATTCTTTATGTTACAGCTCATATCGAATACTTCTTTATTGCTCCTTGCATATTGCAGGTACCAGTCCCTGAATCTGACGCATGTTCCAGAGCATAGTGTCCAGATTTATGAGTTCAGATAAAGGGTCTCAAAAGTGTATTGCTACTCTCAAGGCTTAGTGCATATGTGATTTATATTTTATTCGTTCCTTAAAAAATGTTTTATTGGAATGTTGCTGAATTGTTTTATAAGAGCTTTATAGCTCTTGTAGTATAAATCAGCCTGTGCTGCATCACCAGTGAAGAAAAACAGTGTATTAGTTTGTTTCTAAATACATAATGGTCCACTTTATTGAACTGAGTTTAAAGAGGTGTGATATTTTTGTGTACTCTCTAAATGTTAATTAAGTTTTTTGCTCTGTATTCATAAATATAATTTTCATAGTGAAATTACAAGACTGATTTGCATTGTGTTTTGTCATTATAGTGCCTTTTTATTTTTTCATATATTTTGATTTGAACACTGTGGATGAAACTAATACATCTTCAACTGTTTTTCTCTAAAATGAACAGCATTTCTTTAGTACTGTTTATGCCATTATAAATATATAAATATATAGTATATATATATTTTTCATTACTTCAATTGTGAGGTTGATTAGGGACAGACATCTCTAACAGACCAATTCCTTGTCGTGTGGCTATAATGATGTGAACTGGTTGAGAAGTCACTGGGATAGTATTTGATATCACTGGTATTGATTATTGTTATTCAAAATAAACATGCATTGCTTTTTGTATGAAAACAGATTAAACTTTTTTATTTTTTTTTTCAGTTTAGAAAATTCATTTTTTTTTTAATCCTAAATTGTATTCAGTAACTAGTGGCAGGTTTATGATAATTTGTTCTAATTAATTTCAGAGGCAATGTATAATAGGATATTTGGCTAACAGTTTGTTGCCACAGTATGGACAAAGCAGTTGTCAGGAGCCCATTTAGGAACCCATGGTCATTCTCACTATTATGTCAGGGACTTGTGAGAGAATTAGATATTTTGTAATTTATTTCTGAAGAATGTAGGAATAGTATTGATTCATAACATTACAAAAACTTTGCTCTACAAGAAGTGTGAATTATAGATGGTAGCTGGTTTCAGTTGCTGGGCGGTCATACCTAACAACTGGTGGAGTTATAGGAATTATTAATACTTTAAAAAAAAATGGTTATATTTTGAAGTTAAGTCTAGTTAAATTCAGGATATGTATCATTATTGTAACTGACATTTTTATCTTGGCATTACGGTCTGTACCATGCTATTTATATTGATACTCTTTGTTCTTTGTCTTTATAAATGTATGCTCATTTTGTCAAGCAAACTTTCTAAAACAGATTAAGCCATTGGCAATTATACCTGTTGCCTTTATACTTCATAATCGTGTTTATGGTTTCCTTACTATTTATACTTCCTTAATTATCGGTCAGTGCTTAGGTATTACAGTATATATCAGATTTATTTTGTATTTCTTTTTTAATACACTTCATTAATGAAAATTTTATGGAACGTGTATTGTTATTCTATTTTTTGTGTACATGAAAAAAGTCAGAAGCCAAATACCAAAGGATTGTAAAGCTATAGGTTGTTTATTTCATGTTTTAATGAAGGCAAATCTGCTTTGCTATCCTTTGTGAAGATGTGTTTTTTGTAAAACTTTGTGTCACCGGAGTGTGTTGTATTCTTGCATATTGATATGACACTAAATATCAAAATTTAGTTTCAAGTCAGTTACTTAGTCATTATTGATTTTTGACCATTTATTCATTGTATTTAGTAGTTAATACATGTAGTCTTTCCAACATTAACACTGCTGAAAGTCAAGCAAATAGCAGTATTTTCAGCATACCAAAGTATTGTATAGTAACACTTCATTACTAATGATGAAACCGGTGGTTGTTTTTGGTCATATTAGAAGTGTGTCTGCAAGTGTGAATCGGTTTTGTGTGAAACCAGTTATTTGAAGTTTTTTCGTATAGAATGAACATATAATTGCATAATATGGTAAATCAGCAGGAAAACTAGGCACAATGCATGCTGTACTTGCAGTACGTACTTTGTTTACCACTAAATCATGAACAGTACAATATAATTTTGTGCTATTGGTCAAGGTTGGTTTACAAAGCTCAAATTTTATTTTTTTTATAGTTCATTGGGGCATGCTACTAACAAAATGCAACTGGGCAGAGTATGTTGTCAAAGTTTTAAGGCACATAATTGTAATGACCAGTTAAAAATTGTGCTGTTTAAGGAATTTGTGTTAAACTCAAATATCCAATAAATTTATTTGTGGTTCATGCAGATGTGCACTTCCTTTGTCATATTTTATTTTTATTTCAAATATTAAACAACCTTTTAATGAGTACATTTATTCACAAATAACCCACACTTAGTTAAAATACTTTAGATAATATGTAAGTCTGTCCTGGACCATTATCAAGTCCCAGTTTGTGAGAGATAGCAGGGAAGACCAGAAGACAGGTTGGGAAGAGAGAGAGAGAGAAAGAGAGGGGATATAGCCTTTCTCTACAAAAGTGATAGCAAAGCAATTGCAAAGCACTATAGACTAATGGTACTGACATCCCACGTTATGAAAATCTTTGAGAGAATTTTTAGAAGGCAGCTTGTTAACTAAACGTTCAGAGTAGGGTTTAGAGTAGGTCACTCCTGTCTTTCGCAACCACTGGATAATTATAGCTGGGTTTGAGTATGCTATTATTATTGGATTATTATGACATGTTTTTTGTTTGCAGTGGAAGACAAAAAAAATGTGGATGTGCTATACAAAGATTTTGCAAAAGCCTTTGACAAATAGTCATAGCATATTTCTTCCTTGGATTATTTTGCAGTATTCTCTCAACTTTGGAAGTGTTTGCAACAATGGTGATCTGAGTTAACATTAAACTTCTTTCTATCAAACTGTTTGGGTTTCTGACGATTGTCTTACCATCATTGTTGTGCATGGAAAACTGACTTCTCCTACTATGTATCAGCCACACATGTCTCAGTTATGGGTATCTCACAGAAAAATCCCTGGCACTGTTCTGTGAGGGTTGCCCTCTTCAAGGGGGGCTCCTTGGTGTGGTGAAGAAGCTCTTGGTCTGAGGAATTAGACCTGTCTGTCTCCTTCCTCAGACCGAACCTAATTACCCCCAATCCCCCGTTCCCTATCCCATCCTCCCCATCCTCCCCTTTTTTCTTTCCTCCTCCTCCTCCCCACCCCTCCCTTTTGCCCTTCCTTTTTGGCCTTTGGTTTTTTTTTTTTTTTTTTTTTCTCCACAGGCACGCTAGTTCCTAGGTAGGGGAAAGGGTACCGGGGTCCATCCCATTCGGTTGAGGTTCTTGGCAGTGGCGTAGTTTGCCGTGGAATCTGGATTGCCTGGGGATGTCCCAATCCCTCTCCGGTATCCCGGAGGGTGGCTTTGGGTGTCTCTCGGGCGACGGGTGTATCTCTGGAAGCCACCTTTCGGATTCCGGGGGTGGTGGCTGAAGGAGGTATGCTTTGTGGCGGATTTCCAGCCGCCCTCTCTTTTGCCCACCGAGGTAGCTCGGCAGATGTGAGGTTGCTATCCCGGATTGCCGGTTTACTGGCATGATAGGTAGGGTATGGCACGGGTTCCATGCTGCATCTGCGCTACTTGCGGTGCTGAGGTCCTCTTGGGTGCGGAGAGAGATTTCTGGCCCTTTCATTCCTCCTAGGAACTATCCCCAGTCCACCCTTTTTTTATTCTTTTTTTATTTTTATTTTCTTTTCTTCTTTCTTTTTTTTTCTTAAAAACAAAAAGAAAGAAGTAACCTAACCATGGCAGCCCTAGTCCATGAACCTGCTACCCCCGGGCCCCTTCTTGATACCGCACCCCGTTCTGACCCCGCCTCGTCTTTGGACCACTCTTCGGACACTCCTCATGCCTCTGTACCTCTTGCCGGTGCTGTTTCCTCACCCGCTTCAGGTACTGAGGCCTCGACTGACTCCTTCGATTTATCTGACCTTCACTCTCCTCTGACTATGCTTCCGGCCTCTCCCTCTACGGTGCGGCAATTTTCGAATCGCCGACCCGTTTCACGTCAGACCAACTCTGGTCCCACGCCTAAACGCCAATGACAATCACCTGCTGATGATACTTCTCCACCTTCTCGTTCTTCTCAGAAAAGATCAACACGTCCTTCACTACCTTTCCATGCTCAGTTTCAGACTGCACAATGGACTAAATTCTTCACTTTACGACCGACTTCCTCTACTGCCTATCTTTCTGACCACAGTATTGGCAAGGCACTCCTACGCCATGTTGGTAAAGATATTTCTTTTCATGCTCTTAAGAGTGGTACGCGCATCATCACCGTACAGAATGCTACCCAGGCGCATGAGCTTTCTCGTCTTTCCCATATCGATACTGTTCCTGTCACTATTGAAAAACATCATTCCCTCAATTCTTGTAGTGGTACCGTCATTCTGCCCCATACCATAGTTCAACAAAATTTCCAGACATGTGGCACTGACATTCTTGAACAGCTGGAACTCCAAGATCTCCCAATACTCAAGGTAGACACTTACGTTCTTCCTGCCCGTGGGCGGAGACGATACCCTAGCAATGTGGCTCGTTTAACTTTTGACAGCCGTGAACTCCCATCCTCAGTTTATGTAGCAGGACATCGGTTACAAGTTCGAAAGGTGATCCCTACACTGCAACAGTGTAGAAATTGCTGGCGATTTGGCCATCCAGCAAAATATTGCAGATCTATTGCCGAATGCCCAGTCTGTGGTGCCGATGACCATTCTAATACGTCTTGCAATCGACCTCCCTCTTGCCTTAATTGTCATGAGGCTCACCCTTCGTACTCTCGCCGTTGTCAAGTCTACTTAAACGAGCGGGAAATCCGTTACCTCAAAGAGGCAGGTCTCCCTTATGCCATGGCAGTTTCTCATCTCCGCCTCCAAGGGAGACTACCTCGTGTTTCTTATTCCCATGTTTCAAAACGTCCCCCCACTTCTGGTATCCCATCTGCACACACCTCTGTGGTTACCTCTCCCATAGTCACTCCTGTATCTAATTTTTTTCCTGTCCTCGGCTCAGACGTCCCTACTTCTACGCCTCAGTCTGATCTCGCTTCTTCGTGTTCTCTCTCACAAGCCTCAGTAGCGACGCGATCTCGTATGACACCTCCTCCCAATCGTCCCTCTACTTATCAAAAGTCAAAAAAAGGTCCGTTAACACCTCCTACCCATCTTCCACCTCCTCATTTTACCTTCCCTGTCTCTGTACCTGGTTCTCCCCCTCTCACTGGCTCTGTTACAAGTGTAGAGGTTCACCCTCCTCCTCGTACTGTACCTTCTTCTCCTGTTCCCTCCCAAGTTTCTTCCTCTTCTGCCACCTCCCAGGTTTCTGCCTCTTCTGTCCCCTTCCATGCTTCTCCAGTTCCCTCCACCCTTTCGCCCCCCCTACCTTGGTAGAGTCCAATACAGTTCCCTTCTTTACTCATCCTCCCCCTACCATTTCCAATATTGTCTCCCATACGACGTCTCTGAATTCTGAAACACTTGAAGCAATCTCTGAATGTATTGCAGAGACCAAACCATCAATGGACACTGATCCACCCTCCACTCCTTCTCTCTCTTCTGCTCCATCTGCGCAACTCCTTTCTTCACAGCGCACCATTCCTTCACTGCTTGAACGTTTTCCACTGCCTCCGCATGTGGACTTTCCTAACCCCTCTAGTCCGTAGGAACCCTTACCTGCGGATTTCAGGTATCTTTATCATTGCCAATCATGGCCTATTTACAGTGGAATATACGCGGCCTCAGGGGTAATCGGGGTGAGCTTCAGATGTTACTCTCCCAGTTTTCCCCTGTTGGTGTTTGCTTACAGGAACCAAAATTACACTCTGCTGTTATCTGTCCCATCTCAGGCTATAATTTATTGTATTCTTCAGATCCTTTTCCTGATGGGACCTTTAATGAAAGTGCCCTTCTTCTACGCACTGATATTCCATTCTATCAGCTATTTGTTCGTACTTTGCTGCATTACACAGCAGCCCGTATCCACTTGCATAGGTGGTATACGCTCTGTTCTTTATATCTCTCTCCTTCTCGGGCATTATCTACTCTGGATGTTGCCTTTCTTGTTTTGTCATTACCGCCACCGATTCTGTTACTTGGCGATTTTAATGCCCACCATTTCCTCTGGGGGGGTCTCACTGTGATTCCCGTGTCATTCAGTTAGAGGCTTTTCTTGCCACCCACCTACTCCATGTTTTAAATACAGGTACTCTCACCCATTTTGATCCTCGGACTCACACTCTCTCTTGCATCGATCTCTCAGCCTGCTCTTCCTCTACTGCATTAGACTTCACTTGGTCTGTTCTCCCGGACTTACATGACAGCGATCATTTCCCAATCATTCTTACTTCCCCTTCTTATTCACCACCTCTTCGCATCCCACGCTGGCAATTTGATCAGGCAAATTGGAACCTTTACTCACACCTAACTGTTTTTAGAGAGGTTCCTTCTTCGTCCTCCATCAATGAGCTTTTACACCTCTTCTCGTCCTCCGTTTTAACCGCAGCTTCTCATTCTATACCCCAAACTTCGGGCAGGCATTCTCAGAAATGCGTGCCTTGGCGGTCTCCTGCTTGTGCTCGTGCAGTACGTTTGTAACGTGCTGCATGGGGCAGGTACCGGTACAATAGAACCACAGAGAGACTTCTTGATTTTAAGCAGAAGCGTGCGATCGCTCGCCGTGTCATCCGTGACGCTAAACGTCACTTGCTGGCGAGATTATGTCTCCACCATCACCTCTGCTTCCTCTATGAGTGCAGTCTGGAAAAAAGTACGAAAACTGAGTGGTAAATATTCTCCTGACCCGGCTCCTGTTCTGCAGGTTGCCGGTGTTGATATAGCAAACCCACTAGATGTTGCCAATGAAATTGGCAATCATCTGGTCCGTATTTCTCAGGGACTCCATCTATGCCCTCATTTCTTTCCTCAAAGTCTGCCAGAGAGTTAGCACCCTTGGACTTTTCTTCTCTCAGAGAAGAACAGTATAATGTGCCTTTTACACTTCAAGAACTGGAGGCAACACTCTCAGCTTGCCGATCATCGGCAGCTGGGCCCGACGACATTCATATTCGTATGCTACAACATTTACATCAGTCAGCCCTTGCAGTCCTATTACGCCTTTACAATCTCACTTGGTAACAAGGAGTTCTTCCGCAGCTGTGGAAATCAGCCATTGTTCTCCCTTTCCGCAAACCAGGCACTACGGGACATGAAACCTCCCACTATCGTCCCATTGCTCTTACC